ACTGCTATTCCCTGTCCCTCTGTGGTCCTTTGCCAGGAGAAGGCCCCACCATGAGGTCAGGGGAGACCCTGAGCAGAGAGGTCTCCCCATACCGGGTCAAGCAAGGAAAGAGCTCAGCTGGAAGGGGCTGGATTTATTCTTGCCTCTCTCCAGCCGCTCCTGCAGCTCCTGGCTTCCTGGCAAGCCTCTCCACCAGCGCCCTCACAGGGCTTAGACACTTCACAGCTGCTGGGAGAAAGAATGGAATGGACCCAAGGACATCCAGGCAGGCCCAGGCCCTACCTGCTGGCAACTTGGGCAAGTCACTCTCTCTCTCCTAGCCTCGTCGTCCCATCCATCATAAAGGAACAGGCATTACTGCTATAGGTTGCAGAGGATAAGATGCACCTTTACAGCATAGTAATGAATGGCGGCAGAAAACAGGTCTTTTAGGTTCCTCTCCCCACCTAGCCAGCCTCTTTCCTTTCTGGGAGATGAAATTAGTTTACCCCCAAACCCCGCCTGTCCTTCAGAAGCCAAATTTTACTACAGATGCAGGTAACCAGGGAATGGTTGCCAAAGGCCGGGCTTTGAAAAGAAGGGCTGCTTGTTGCCTAGGAAACTGCCCCACTCCGGGTTCCCTGGGGTCCCACCAGTTGATGGGTCTCGGCGCCATCTGCCGGACACAGTGCCACACTGCTTCTGAAGCTCCCAGACCCGGAGTCCCACAGCCTGGAACAGGGAACACTCCTCTTCCCCTGCCCATTCTCCCCCACAGCATCACATAAAAGCTCTTTGCTCCTTTTGCCCCCAGACTTTCCCAGAGATTAGAGGCATGGGAAGGAGTTGGAAGCACTGTGGAGGGTGGGAGCGATGTCCTTCTCTACACATAAAGGAAGAGGACAGGAAAGCAGGACTCCTGGTAGCCTGAGGTCCAAGAAAGTCTCTCCCCTAGTTGCTTTCCTGAGGCTTGCAATCCTCTTGGAAACTGTTTCCCACTATCTGCCCTTCCACAGGGAGGGAGCCATGGAAATGAAGAGGTTAAAGTTGAGGTAAGAGAGTGACATGTGGGTCACCGCAAGGTCCTGGTGCAACATCCCCTCCTGGGGAACCGCTCAGCTCCCACTGCTTCTAGACCCGAGTCCCCTTTTCTTCTCTGGGAGAACCTTCCTACCCACCTGACAGTTGCCAGGTGAACCCCTTGGAGCCTCAGATCGTCCTGCCCACTGGCAGAAGAGGGAGAAGCAGAAAGATGCCTGCTATGAGACCAGGACTCCTGAGTTCAATACCCGCCCAAGGCAGCCCCTGGGCTTGGCCACCCTGAGATCAGCCTGCCCTGAAAAGTGAAGGGGGAAGTGAAATATCTGAAGTTGGGATGCCTGGGGGTGGGGGGGTACCTCTTTCCCTTTTAGGATCACAAGTAGAGAAACTGAGGCACAGGGTGAGCGAAAGGCTGCTCTTTACCTGTTCCAGGCTAATACCACATCTTGCTATCCAGATGTCCTCTCTCCAACTCTAGCTGGGCTGGGGTGGGGGTGGGGGGCGAAGTTGACTTGAGAGCCGACACCCTGGCTCTCAGCCCAGAAGCTGATGTTGTCAATGGGCTTAAGAGCAGGTGGAGCAGGAGGCTGGGGACCAGGTCTCCTGGGTCCCTGATCCCACCTGTTTTCCCTCCTGAGCTAAGCCAGAAGGGTAAGCAAGGAGGAGGCTGGCGATGGTGATGCCTGAACCCTGCAGGTGAGAAGCCCTGCTCTGAGGACAATAAGTGTGAGAGGTGGGGCTGGGTACTCTGGCCTAGAAGAGGCTGCATGCGGCTGGAGGCTCCCACCTGGCCGCTGCCCTCTGCCCAGGTTCCCTGCCTCCAAACTCTCCTCAGCAGGAGGCAGGAAGGCTTCAGGGGTGAGGTGAGGTGGGCAGGGTTGGCCCTGCAACCTCCTGGTTAGCTGTCTGAGTGTCAGGCTATAGTGGGGTCAGAGAGGCTGAGGGTGGAATTTGACCCTTACAAGCCAGAAAGGATCCTGAAAGAATAAAAAGCTCTAATGAAGGGGAGAGTGAGGAGTTACCTCCGCCAACCCACCACGCCCCAATGGTTGGGTCCTCTCTTCCTCTCCAGCCCTGACTCTGGATGTGAGGAGAGGAGTGGAGGGAAAGACTGAGGGGAGCTGAGTGGCTCACAGCTGGGGCACTGCCCCTGCCTCACCTCCGGCTGACTGCCCACTTCCTGACTGGCACTGGAGCCACAGAAGCTGAAAGGAGCCTCAGAGGGCTAGTCTAGTCCCCCCTGAATGATGGGGCCATGTCATCTGAGGGCCCTGTTCTCAGTCCTTGGAGCCTGGGAGACGGCTAGGGCTACCCACTCCTCCTCCTCTTGGTCCCCCAGGGAACACCAGAGATGGCCCCACTGCTACCCCGCCGTGAGGGTAACTTGACTCTCCTGCTCCACACACCTGCACTGAAGCCCGGGCCTCCCAGTCCCCTGGCTCTACCTGTTGCTCTTGTTCCTGCCCTGGCTGGGGGCGAGGCTGGCTACCTAGGCTAAGTCCCTGCAGCTCCACCTGGCCTGCAGCTTTGACACGCTCGCTGGGAGAGTGCACTGAGCCATTTCTTTTGCGGTGGCCTGGTATAGGCTGCCTGAATGCTGATGTTGCTGCAGGGATCCTGGGGCACTGGCTGGCTGCACGCTGGCAGTGTGCCCTCTCCCTGAGTGGGTACACCTTTGCGCAGATGCCGCTGCTCACGAGCTGGGACCTGGGGCACCACAGCAGCATGGTTCAGCGCCTGTGGGGCCACATCTTCGACAACCTGGTGGTGAGCAGCCTGGACCACATGGTGCTGGGTGTGTGTCAAGGAGGGATGAGGGGGCATGTGCGCTGCGCAGACCAGGTTGGACCTCAGGGGGCAGGTAGTACTGTTGACCAAGGCATCTCTGATCTGCATTTCTCCCAAATGGGGCTCTGGGCTGCCTCTGAATATCCACCTGCTGTGGCCTTCCAACCCAGAGTCTCTCTCCCTTTGTCCCACTTGAGCCTCCTGCACTGTGGCTGAATTTGCAACCCAGACTAAGTGTGTTGCCTGGGTCCAGACTTACATGCACTTATCACCCAGGCAAAGGGAGAGCCCATAGGACACAATAAGACTCATTTACTCACGCCTGTAATCCCAGCACTTTGGGAAGCCGAGGCAGGCAGATCACCTGAGGTCAGGAGTTCAAGGCCAGCCTGGCCAACATGGTGAAACCCCATCTCCACTAAAAATCCAAAAATTAGCTGGGCATGGTGGTGGGCACCTAGATTATGCCACTGCACTCCAGCCTGGGTGACAGAGCGAGATTTTGTCTCAAAAAAAAAAAAAAAAAAAAAAAAAAAGACTCATTTACTGAGCACCTGTAACCTTCCTCATTTGTTCTCACATAATCCTTGCAATGAAGCCTGGGGGTGGGTGCTGTGTCATCTGCTTTTCTTAGGACGTGTGCTGTGACAAGTCTCAGACCATATAACTAGATGCATGGAATTCCTCTAAAACAGTAATCCTCTAACTTTAGAATGTATCAGAATTGAGGGGCTGAGTAGCAACCCAGAGGCCCAGACCCTATCCTACTACGGCAAGCCTAGGACTTGTTATTAGCTCTCCAGGTGATTCTGACATGCACCAAACTTCCAGGGCCACTGTGCTAAAACCTCCTCTCGAAGGGCCATACTAATGCTACCATACCTTAAGGGGGAGATCACTGACTTACAAGGTAATTCATCCTATTGGTCAGCTCTATTAACCAACTAGGTTTAGTTCAAAACGGAACCTCTCTGTTTGAACCACTCATGCTCTTGATTCAGAGTGACTTGGCATTTATCTGAAAACGCTTAGATCCTTCCAATCTCAATGGCTGGTCAAGCTGCTTCCTGCATGATTTTTGTAAACCAATGCACAAGACAAACCACGAAACCTGGCCCTGTTTTGGTCCATCCCCTCTCATCTTCAACCATCCCCTGGGACCTGGGCATCGTCCTCCCTCCCTGCTGGGTCACCTCTGACTCAGGTACTCATCAAAGCCAGACTCCAGGGCACAAGGCCTCCCAGGACTGTCAATGACCCATTCACTTTGCAAGAACTCCTGGAGCAGATGCTGAACCAGCTCTAAGCCCACCTGATAGTCCTGCTGTCTAGCTCTTTCTTGTCCCTAGAAGCACAAAGCTAAAAAATGATGCAGTGAAAGGCTGGCCCCCGAGCAAATAGCTCTCTGGCAGAAGGGGTCTGGGAGAGGGCAGGTATTGGTACAGCATGGCAGCAGGGAGCTGAGGGGCCCCTCCCTTAGCCATAGGAGTGTATCCAGATCTCCTTGGTCTGCTCATTCCCACCACCCAAGGACCCCCTGGCCATCTTCCCTGCCTCTGCCCACTTGAGTGATGGCTGTATGGAGTGGTGTCTGTACCTTCGATGGACAGCTTTGTGCCCACTGCCCAAAAACAGAGGCATAGGAAGGCAATACGAATGTTCCAAAACCTCTCAACTCTAGGGGTATTCAGCAGCCCATGTGACAGTACTGTGTGCACTAGTGGGAATTGAGGCTGGGAGGCAGCTCCTGAAGCACATATGAACAGTGGGAGCTGACCCACTCTGCTTTGTACCTATAGGTATGTTTTGGCAGATGAGACCACAGGCCCTGGCCATGCTGTACTGCCACCTGTGCCCTGGCTGCACCATGTGGCATGATGAGGCTGCGGTGGGCGTTTTTCGGCAGCCAGGTGAGGCCCCAATGCTGGAATTCTACAGCCGTGATGACCCTCCACAATGCTGCCTGGCTGCAGGAGCTGCTGAGCAGCTTGCAGCAGGTGAACTTGCCAGTGTGGCACAAGCCTGGGAGACCTCCTGACATGGGGCCCACCTGCGCCAACAGGCCCCCACCCCACCCCCAGTACTGCAACGCCCTCATACCTTCCTGGGGAAGCAGGGCCTGGTGCCACACCCCCCAGCCCAACTCTGATGGGGCTCCAGTCACCCAATGGACAGGGGATACAGACAAGATGGTGGAGGCGTTGAGACCTGCTTGATTTATTCCGAGTATTTAACACACAATGACGCAACTGTGATCCCAAAGTGTGCAAAGTTAAAGCCTTCAACTGCAGCTGAGGAGAGGGGAGGAATGGTTCACCTGGGGACGGTGGTGAGTCAGGAATGACAGGCAGGCAGCCATGACCAGGGCAGCCGCCTCCCCAGGGCCAGGGACAAGGGAGTGGCCTGAGGAGCAGGACCCAAGGGTAGCCCAGGCCCGGGGAAGGGGGCAGAGACCTCCCCTTGGCCTAGGTCAGGAGCTCAGAAGTGCCACATGGCTGAGGGGGCAGCGGCCCAGGAAGGGCCAGAGGCAGGGCCAGGAGAGCACCATTTCCTGGGGGGCTGGGGGCAGGGAGGTGCCCTACAGGAGAAGCCAGGAGGGGCCACCTGCCCCTGGGGTAGGGGCCGGGCTGGAGCAGGCTGCAGCAAGAAAGACCTGAGGCAGGCGCAGGGCCTGAGAGCCCGGCTGGCTGGGCTCAGGGGGGCTCCCAGGGCAGCCTGGCCCAGGGAGCAGTCCTGACTGCAGGGGATGCCGAGTGAGGGGCAGCAGCCCCCTCAGGACCTCCCCTCCTCTCTCCCTGGAAAGGAGCTGGGGAACCCGTAGTGCAAATCTGTGGATCACTCAGTTATGGAGGGAGGCTGTGCCCGAAAGTGGACATTGGGGTGCGCCCCCTCCACCACCTCGGCCTCCACCGCTGTCCTCAGTACAGCCGCTTCTCGTAACTGTGGGGACAAGGCAAGAGGGGGAATAAGAGTGGGTGTGTGGACCCTGCTCCCTTCCAAAACCGTTTCCCCAGGGCCCCCAGATACGGGAGAGAGCAGAGAGCTGAGGAGCCCTGGGATCTCAGCCGTAGCGGGCAGGAGGGCCTGGAGCAGGCCTTGGGTCTCTGTCCTGCCCTAGGCCAGTGTTCCCTTGAAGAACCATGCTGGGTCCAGAGATGGCCATGCTCCTTTGGGCCATCGCTACATCTGAGTGGACTGTCCTCAGTGCCCAGGGTGGAGCGACAGCTCAGGCAGGCACAGCCCATCCTCATGGAGCAAGCTCCAACCTGGGGCCGAACCTCTGCTGCCTGTGTCCACACCTAGCCCCAGCCCGGCAAGCACAGTGGCCTAGGCTGCTTGTGGTCACTGGGTCCAGTCTAAGATGGGGCAGCCTTAGGCCTGAGGTCACAGGCGTCTCTCTGCAGCCAGAAAGGGATCTGTGTTTCAGTTAGATGAGGGGACATTGCTGGTTTCCTCCACGATGGTGTTGGAGTTAGGGGGCCGGGGGGCCCAAACCCAGGGTCCACATCTCATGGCTACACCCCAGCACCCTCCCACTCTCACCCAATACCCACCCCCACCTCCAGCCCAGGTCCCACCCAGACTGCCCCTGCTCTACTCTACGCTTGGCCCGGGCAGCGCGTTTACTTACACGGCAGAAAGGTATAGCTACGGAAGGGTGGGGCGGAAAGAGACACAAGTTAGACGCCGCCCGCTGATGCCTGGGGACAGGGCTCCTGACCAGGGTGGGGCGCATGCCTGCAACTACTGCTGCCAACAGAACTGCTGCCAACGAGCACTGCCCCCGCCCACGGTTGCCCCAGCGCTGGTCCTGGCATCCGTCTCTCTGCCCTTGTCCCTGCCAGAGGGGTCACACCCGCATCTTCTGCCTGGCTGCCTGGTGCCACCACCAGCCCCTGCCACCAGCCACCAAGCTTCCTGAGCAAGCAAGGGCTGGGAGTCCAGGTACAGTGAGTGGCCACACCTCCTGTGCCCTGCTTGGAAGAGGCCCGAGGGAAGGGGAGGGCCTGCTTGCATGGGGGCTAAAGGATGAGGAACAGGGTGGCTGGGCCCTGGAGGAGAGGGTGAAGGGCCATCCTGCAGCAGCATCTGTCCCTGCTGCAGGTGGTCCATGGGGTCCCTTGACCTCAGCTTGGCCTCACGACCCTGGCCCCACCTGCCCAACCCACTGCCTGCAGGTGACAGCGAGGAGGCCACCACACTTACGAGTGCAGGCCATGGACGCCACCCTCGATCTGCGCTGACATGGTCCGCTTCTCAAACTTGAGCTCTCCTGAGTACATCATGGACCTAGGAAGCAGGTAGGTGGAGCGGGTCAGGGCCACCACGGGTGGAGAAGAGCGAGAGAAAGGAATCAGGAGCCGCCCCAGTCTCAGCACTCACCGAAGGACAGACAGGCTGCGGGCCCCGATATCCTGGCAGCCGTGTTGGATGCCCGCTATGAGGTAGGGCACAAATTTCTGAATGGACCCTTTGTCCTGGATGGAGCCCGAGACACCCTGTGCGATCTTCACCTTATCCCCCTCGCTGCGTGGAGGGTGGAAGACTGAGCCCAGCAGCTTGAAGCTCAAAGGACCCCACCCCACCTCTTAAGGGCACAAAAGGGATACCGCCCAGGAAGGTCCCCAAGCCACCCCTCGCTGGGCTCTGAGTCAGGTGGCCCAGGGACAGATCCTGTGTCTGCTACTTATGCCCTGTGCCTCAGTTTCCAGAACCACCATATGAGGACTGGCTGCCATCTGGGGAAGTCAGTGGCATGAGCGGGCCCTGAAGGGTTGTGGGCTGATCTGCCCAGGTGGGGCCCAGGGTCAGGGAACCTGAAGTATCGTTTCTGGCTGCTGCTGCTCTTCTCCATGGCATCCAGTGAGCCCATGCCCCGGTACTTCTTGAGCCGCACCCCGTCTGAGAAGAAGTACTCGCCAGGGGCCTCCGTGGTGGCAGCCAGCAGGGAGCCCATCATCACTACAGTGGGCAAGGGATTTAGTGCCTCCAGCCCACGAGTGCCCCACCTGGCTTCCAGCCCTCGCCTGCCCAATCCCCAGCACATTTTCCCCTCACCTGTGGAGGCTCCAAGGGCCAGGGCCTTGACCACGTGCCCCACGGTCTGGATGCCGCCATCGGCTATGATGGGCACACCAAAGCGCCGGGCATACTCAGCCACCTTGTACACAGCAGTGCCCTGGGGCCGACCACAGGCCATCACTGGGGGAGGGTGGGGTGCACAAGGCAGAGAAGAGTCAACAGCGACTCTGGGGCCAGGCACGGGGCCAGATCAGCTCTTCCTCCTGTGCACTACCTCTAGTTAGGAAAAGGGACTCAGCTGGATGGTGTTTCTGAGGCATAACACAGGTGCTGGCAAATACCACCAGGATGAGTGTCACTCCAGGGATCTTGGCCACCCCATCCCTAAAAGCATGACAGGGGATTCTGATGGGGCATCAGAAGTGGCTTTCAGAGCCCAATGTCCCCAGACGGGTGGCCACAGCCTTACCTGCTCTCAAGGTACAAGTTCCCCCTCAAGGCTTTCATTTGCAAAAACTGTTACCAGGGTTAGGTACTATGGTCCCCTTTGGGATACTGGTTTGCATTTCTTCAAATCTAAGTGTCCACGGTCCTTCAGTGTTAGGTTTTAGATGGGGACTGTAAGGACCAGCACCTATCTCGGGACGGACGCAAAGCTGGATAAACCACAGATGGCGCCTCTCATTTGTTTTGTCCCTACTCTACCTCAAGGCTTTGAACAGTACCTGAGACAAGTAGGTGCCTAATGAATATTTGTTAAGTGGGTGAGAGAGGGCCCTCATTTCACCATGGTAGCCAGCTAAGGTGAAGGGCACAAACCTAAATAGCAGAGGCTCTGAAGACCAAAAGGGAGAGCTGTTTGGGCCAGGAAAGGCCAAATGCATCACTCAGTGTTGTGGAGAGATGGCCCTCAAAGGAGGGGCCAGGTACATCTCCTCAGGCCAAGCTAGGACCCCAGTCTTCCAGGCAGCCACCCCACAAGTCAGACACCAGCCTCCAGGGAGTACCTCCTCAATAACCACATGGGGGACACATGTCAGGTCCCCCTTTCCCACTTCATGTTCAGAAACCCACCCTGCAGAAGGGCTTTGTAATTGGGTGGAACTCCCCACTCCCCAACCACATGGTGAAGTGGGTGTATAATATATCCTTATATATTCAGGGACACGTCATCTCTGTGTCTTAAATATCTGCCCTGTCACAAATCAAATCCAAACCCTGAGGTTCCAACAAGCCCCTTGGACAGTCACACCAACCCCAGGCCCCAAGCCCCAGGCGGAGCCCCCTTGACCGTACTCTGAGAAGCAGGTGGAGCTCTTGCGCCCTGCTTACATCTGCCTTCCCTTAAGTCAGTGGGCCCGACGGGGTGCGGCCCATGCCTGGGTCATCCCGGAGCCCACCATGGCAGAACGGGGCCTGGCAGAGAGAGTACTTGATATGCATCTGGGGAACAAAGGCGAGGCCCCCCGGCCAGCGGGCACTCGCTCACCTCCTGACACCCACCTTCCTGGGTGATGCAGATGGAGCCGCAGCCCATGCCCACGCGGAGCCCGTCCACACCAGCATCAATCAGGTTCTTGGCCTGGGCTGCTGTCACCACTGGGGGTGGGAATGGGGCAGAGGAACAATGTGAGGATGGGATGCCCTTGCCTGCCCAACGGCTTCTTGGGACCCCAGTCTAGCACCCCCAACCTCCCTATGGTGACCAAAGCCCATCATGCTTCCTGCCACCCATGCCAGGAGCCATACCATCACCTAGGGATGCTGAAGGACAGAAAAAGGTTTCTCAGTGGAGGGGCAGGAGCAGGGGGCTGAGAGGCAACCCCGCACTCACCGTTCCCCCCAATCACCTGGAGGTGGGGGTACTTCTGTTTGATGTAATGCACCATGGCGATCTGATACACCGAATTCCCTTGGGACGAGTCCTGTGAGAAAGGAAGGAAGAGCTTGTGCTTAGACAGCTGAGGACTCTCAAGGCAGGAGGGAGAGCCTGAACGGATGAACCCCTCAAATTCTGTGAAAACTGTTATGAGAATGTTCTTTCCTTCTGTGTTTTTGTTTTTGTTTTTCTGGAAATTCACTTGACAACTCTCAGTCAATTCTCAATGGGGACTGCTTCCCTGAAAGGTTAACCACCACTAATGCAGTCTTAGAGTAGATAAGGCCTTTCCTATCCATTGTACAGACTGAGCCTTAAAGCAAGGAGACACTGCCTGGAGCTGTATCCGGTTCCCACCAACTCACTAACCAAATGAAATGACTTAACTTATTTAAGCCTGTTCTTCATCTGAAAATGGAATGGCAATTGTCCCTCAAGGGGCTGATACACATAAAGGTCTTGACGCAGTGGCTGGCAAACAGGCGGTTCTCAGTGAGCATGAGCTAAATGACTAGGGTCAACTTATCAGCCAAGAAGGCCCTCAGAGGGCCTTTGTTTGCAGTCTGTTGTGAGCTGTTGAGAGGGTGCCAGTGACCCTCCTAATTTCTCTTCCTCCTAGTCATAGAATACAGATAAATCTAGATGTATGGTCCAGATCACTCACAAGGAATCAATAAGCCTTTATCCTTATTCTACCTCCCTTTATTGGGGGTGGGGGGTCTTGATTTGTAATTGTTGCTTGCAACAATTTGTCTATTTTTTTTTTTTTAAAGATTCAGTGGGTATATGTGTTTGTTGCTTAAATGGGCATACTGCATACTGGTGAGAATTGGGCTTCAAGTGTACCTAATACCCACATATCGAAAACTGTGTCTGATAGGCAATTTTTTGTTCCCCTCCCATCCTCTCCCATGTTGGAGTCCCCAGCATCTATTATTTCCATCTTTATGAACATGTGTACCCACTGTTTAGCTCCTACTTATAAGCGAGGGCCTGCAGTATTTGGTTTTCTGCTTTGGAGTTAGTTCACTAAGGATAATGGTTTCTAGCTCTGTCCATGCTGCTACAAAGGACAGGATTTCATTCTTTCTTATGGCTGTGCCATTGAAGAATTTTAACTTGTTCGTTTTCTTTCTTTGTATCTCAGATGACACAAACCACTGTTTGCTTTTTGAGATAGAGTCTTATTCTGTCCCCAGGGCTGGAGTGCAGTGGCACGATCCTAGCACACTATGACCTTGAACCCCTGAGCTCAGGCGATCCTGCTGCCACCCTCCTAATTCTGACACCAGGGAGCACTCGGAAGCAGAGAGGAAGAGTAGCAAGGGAGGGGCACAGGTTTAATCAGAGGTGAACCTGGGTCCTCATAGACCTCCACTCTGCTGAACCACCCAAACACCTCCCCCACAACCTAGGCAGGGGCCTCACCAAGACTATGACGTCGACGCCCGCCTGGGTGAGCAGGTCCAGGCGGTATTTGTCATCCTCACGGGTGCCCACAGCTGCCCCACAGAGCAGCTGCTTGTGGGAATCCTTGGAGGCCAGAGGGTAGTCTCGGTTCTTCTTCAGGTCAGTGCGGGCGATGATGGCCACCAGCTCATCACGATCATTGACGATAGGCAGCTTCCCTGACAAGGAATGCAGGGGTGAAACGAAGCAGGCTTGGTGGGGAGAAGTTTGAGAGATGTTCAGGAGGGTGAAGATGAAAGTGGGCAACGCCAGAGATTCCACTGAAGTACCCCAGCCAGCCACTAGGTGACAGCACCCCCCAGGAAGTGTTCCTAGGGACCTAGACCGCTTCCCAAGGAACAGGGAGCAAAGAAACCTCTCAGCCCAGCAGGTTCCTGAGGGTCTGTGGATGGGCATCCCCATGGACTGGGATGGGCATCCCCATGGACTCGGATGGACAGCCCCTGAGCGCTGGCAGCCTTTCACCTGCTGGGCCACAGTGGCCGAAATCTCCTAGCCAGGAGTGATGCTGTCCTGCAGGGAGAAGTATGTGCCCTGTTCAATACAAACACCAAAGAACCCTCCACTATGGACCAGGGAAGCATTTCCCAGTATAGCCAACAGGGACCTGGTGAATATTTAATTTTTCCTTTTTTTTTTCTAAGGAGCCAATGTTGGCCGGGCATGGTGGCTCACAGCTTCCTCACTTTGGGAGGCTGAAGCAGGTGGATCACTTGAGGCCAGGAGTTCAAGAACAGCCTGGCCAATATGGTGAAACACCATCTCTACTAAAAATACAAAAAAATTAGCTGGGTGTGTTGATGTGCGCCTGTTGTCCCAACTACTCAGGAGGCTGAGGCAGGAGAATTGCTTGAACCCGGGAGGTGGAGATTACAGTGAGCCGAGATCACACCACTACACTCCAGCCTGGATGAGAGAGCAAGACTCCATCTCAAAAACAAATAAATAAATAAATAGCTAGCCAAAGTTGTAGCCAGGCACAGTGGCTCACGCCTGTAATCCCAGCACTTTGGGAGGCCAAGGAGAGCAGATCACTTGAGGCCAGGAGTTCAAGACCAGCCTGGCCAACATGGTGAAACCCCATCTCTACTAAAAATACAAGCAAACAAATAAATAAATAAATAAGCTAGTGTAGTAGCACACATCTGTAATCCTAGCTACTCAGAAGGCTGAGGCATGAGAATCGCTTGAACCTAGGAGGCAAGGGTTGCAGTGAGCTGAGATGGTGCTGCTGCACTCCAGCCTGGGTGACAAAGTGAGACTCTGTCTCAAAAAAAAAAAAAAGCTAAAGTTGTTTCTAGCTAGCAAATATAGAAACAGCTCCAGTGTCAAATAAATTTAACTGCAGGACTTCTGAGAGCCTTTAATAAGTGAATGTGCAATTCTTTATGTAAGATAAGGGATAGAGAAAGGAGTTCTTGCTCAAGCTTTTAAGACCACAGAGGCTTCTTCTGGGATGAGCGTCTCATAGGACTAGTTTTGGGAAACATATTGTGAAGATGCTGCATTAGGGACAAGCTTCCCTAAGCTGAGAGAAGGATGGCAGGAATTGTGGTCTGGCCTGCCTGAGGTGATTCAAACCTTCCCCAGGGTCCAGTCTCATTGCTGGGATAACCTGTGAGGCTGTGAAAGAACAATGGGACTGTGGACAGGGAGTCAGGCTAGGGGTTGAGTTTTCAACTAGCTCCCTGGTACCTTTCTTGCTACGCTGCAGGATCTCATTTGCCTCTTTCAACGTCACACCTGCTGGAGCCACCACCAGCTCAATCCTTGGCGTCATCACCTGTGGGGCCAGGAACATTTGCCTGCAGGTTGGCAGGTGAGAGAGAAGGAGCCAGGCCTCCCTCTGGTCCCTGGTCACAGGCACCAGTCTGAGGCCCCAGCGTGAGGGTCCTCTCTGCACCCAGCCCTGCTTCCCCTGCCCTGCAGGTACCTCACTGAGGAGGGTGGTGTGGTCCTTCTCAGCAAGAAAGTCAATGTCTCGGGAGGTGACGATGCCCACCAGCTTGCTGCCCATGGTGCCTGTCTCAGTGATGGGGATGCCAGAGAAGCCATGCCGCATCTTGGCCTCCAGCACATCGCCCACAGTGTGCGAGGGGCTCAGCACCACGGGGTCCGTGATGAAGCCCTGTTCAAACTTCTGCAGGCAGAGATAGGGGGAGGAAAAGGCTGGAAGAAAGCCAGGGATGATGTCTGAGCTGGCCACAGGGAACAGAGGATGCGGCTTTGCCGCAGAGAAGTCAGGACCCTCAGTGGGATGAGGAGCCAGTGGGAAAATGAGGGCTCGGCCCCACAGCTCCACTGAGAGGAAGGACACCCAGGGAGTGCAGCAGTACAGGGCTGGCAGGGGAGGCTGGGAGGGCCTCTGAGGTGGGGACTGCCAGGTGGCATCTTGCTGGGGACAGGCCTGGTACTTGCCTTGACCTTCCGCACCTCGTTGGCCTGGAACTCTGGGGTGCAGTTGTGGTGAATGAAACCAATACCTCCCATCAGCTGACATGGAAGGGAAGTGTGGTCACAGTGAGGGCCCATCCCTCCCCGGCCCTGCCCCTCAGCACAGCCCACCATGCTCAGTTCCTGTGCCCGGGAGTCCCCATGCAGGTGCGTTACTCACAGCCATCGCAATGGCCATGTCAGCCTCTGTCACAGTGTCCATGGGGGAGGAGATCAGCGGCGTCTTCAGCGTGATCTTCCGGGTCAGGGCTGAGGTCAGGTCCTGAGGATGGAGGCACAGCCCATGTGAAGTTTATCACCCACTGGACAAACACTTACTGAGCTCCTACATGCACCAGCACCAGGACAGTCCCTCGGGACATGGCAGTGAACAAGGTTCCCTGCTCATGTAACAGAGCTTATGTTCTACTTGGAAAGAAAGATGACAGACACAGGACACATGCTCAAGATGACTTCCGTCACGATGAAGGCTGTAGAGAAAAACAAGAAGGCAAGTGACCACCAGCAACAAGGTGACTGGGGAAAGCCTCTTTCCTGGGAGGTGACGGGTGGGAGCCAATCAAGTAGAAGTCAGAAGGGCTGTCACTCGGCTGAGAGGGCTTGGTGCAAACCCGCCTCAGAATCCAATTCTTTCGGAGGCACATTTAAGAAAGAAAAAGAAGGCCAGGGGAGTGGAGGGAAGGAAGAGGCGGGAAGAAGGCAGGGGCAGCATGTATGGCCGTGAAGACCATGGAGAGAAGCTCAAATTCGATTCGGACAGAAGCCCCTGGTCTCGACAGAGAAATGATCTGATTTATGTTTCAAAAAGGTCACTCAGGCTCTGAGGTGGAGAATGGATTCTGGGTGACAAGGGCTGAGGTCAGGGGAGGCATGGAAAAGAGTCTTTTAGGCATCCAGGAAAGCAAGCAACTAACGGTCTGGAGCTCAGGAGAGCAGTCAGGATTGCGAGTGTCCATTTAAAAGCCACCTGCCCATGGAGGAAAGGCCAGCGCACATACCCCTCTGAGGGTCAGGCCAACAGTAGTGGATCCCAGCTCCCAAGACATTTGAGCAGACTTTGCTATGTAATTTTTTTTTTGAGACGGAGTCTCGCTCTGTCGCCCAGGCTGGAGTGCAGTGGCACGATCTTGGCTCACTGCAAGCTCCGCCTCCCGGGTTTACACTATTCTCCTGCCTCAGCCTCCCGAGTAGCTGGGACTACAGGCGCCTGCCACCTCGCCCAGCTAGTTTTTGTTTTTTGTATTTTTTAGTAGAGACGGGGTTTCACCGTGTTAACCAGGATGGTCTCGATCTCTTGACCACGTGATCTGCCCGTCTTGGCCTTCCAAAGTGCTAGGATTACAGGCTTGAGCCACCGTGCCTGGCCCCGCTATGTAATTTTTTTAGATTCAAAGTCCCTGAAACCCATCACTAACCCTGGTTCAGACCTCTGGCCCCATGATCTAGAAAACACCATCTTCTCCTCTTTCATCATGCCACAGAAGGGCCACAGCCTTCCTGACAGAAGCCACAGGACAGGGAGACCCTCGCCAGCCAGGCAGATGTCTTTTATTTATTTATTCATTTATTTTCTGTCACCCAGGCTGGAGTAGAGTGGTGCAATCTCGACTCACTGCAGCCTCCTCCTCCCAGGTTCAAGTGATTTTCCTGCCTCAGCCTCCCAGGTAGCTGGGATTACAGATGCCCGCCACAACACCCAGCTAATTTTTGCATTTTTAGCAGAGATGGGGTTTCACCATGTTGGCCAGGCTGGTCTCAAACTCTTGATCTCAGGAGATCCTCCTGCCTCAGCCTCTCAAAGTGCTGGGATTATAGGTGTGAGCCACCGCACCCAGCTGGAGTAGGGGTCTTTTCAATCCCTCTCTTCCTAGCAGCCAGCCCAGGGTCTGACACAAAGCCACAGTAAACTCCGTTACTGAGTAAACTCCGTTAAACTGAACAGCTGCACCAAGAAGGCTTCCTGGTTGTTGTCATAAGGGAAACAACCAGAATCATTTGAATTTCCCCCTGAAAATCTGTCTGGTTCAGCTCTGGTTACACACAGGCTGGACATGAACTTCCCTCACATGTAATTGATCTAGGCACACTCAGGCCCTCTGGCCTTTCATGAGAATCAGACCAGAATAAATAGCAATAATAATAGCAACAGAAAAGAAATGGGTTTTTTAATGTATATGAATTCATCATAGAGTCACGGTACTTTTTCTTGAAATGACTTACACCATCATCACTACCCACCTTGGTTTCTCTGAGTTTATCATATGTTAATTGTTCATTGATTTGGCTCATTGATGAGCCCCTCTGGGAAAGCAAGACACTGTGTTTCCTTGTATTTATCCAAAATGCAACTCTTTCAAACCCTCTTGCCAGTTCTTGTACTTTGTGGATCAGTGAACAAGTCTGTCTATCGTTTTCAAATCTCTGTAATTTTACTGGCTTCTATCATGTCCTTGTTCAGCATTCCAGACAAAATCCAATCCTTATGGTCTCTACAATAAGGAAGCCACTCCCAAACCCACCCCTTCACACTCCCAAGCCAGCTCCTTCCCAGGCCTCTTCTGAACCTGCCCATAGGTTCTGTCACTGACAGAGCCACCCAGCCCCGGGCCGGGCCTCACTTAGGACACTCCTGTGTCCCCATAGCTGCCTCTGCCCCATCAGGTATAACCCTTTGATCTCTGCCAGTTTCTCTGGCAACAATAAAGGCTATATCCACCCATTCCAGCCAGGTGGAATCACCCCTGTAATCACAGCATTTTGGGAGGCTGAGGCAGGCGGATCACTTGAGCTCAGGAGTTTGAGACCAGCCTGGCCAACATGGCAAAACCCCATCTCCACTAAAAATACAAAAATTATCGGGGGATTTTGGCACGTGCCTGTAATCCCAGCTACTCAGGAGGCTGAGGCAGGAGAATCACTTAAATCTGGGAGGTGGAGGCTGTAGTGAGATGAGATCACACCACTGCACTCCAGCCTGGGTGACAGAGCCAGACTCTGTCTCAAAAAAAAAAAGGGGGGGGGGGCTATATCCTATCCACCCATTCCCAAGAAAAGTCTCTCCATGCCCTGCTCCTGAGCAAGAAGTCAGCCTCTTCCACCACACACACAGCTCCCTCCCCTTGTCAAAGGAAGAGGTACTCACCACCTCATCAGCTATGAAGTCAATGAATCCTGGGAGAATCAGGAAGTCGCTGTGAAGACAGAGAAGTGAGTATTACTAGTGGGGAGGGCAGCCCCAAAGGGGTGGAGCCTGCCATGCCAGAGGAGGCAGCAGGGGTGTATAGAAAAGCCTAGGGGAGCAGAGGCTAGAGCCCCCCCATCCCTACTGCCTCATCAGGGCAGTTCCCCACCTCCTGCCCCCCACTAGAGTCTGGCAGACTCCAGTCCCAAGAGCTAGAGCCAAAGATAGTGGAAGGTCTGCTGGGGTGCCATCAAGGCAATAGGCCCAAAATATCCATTGCCTTTAGGTCTCAGAGTTTGTCAAGCAACACAGAAGTTCCCATATCGCCACACACAGCAGACAGTGCCTGACTTTGAAAACTTCTCAATCTTGATGGGGAGAGAAAATAAGTAAACACAGGGAACAAACCTGAGAACAATTTTGTGGTGCAACACAGCATGAACATGACCCAGCACAGGACACACTGCACGCCCCGGTGCCTGGGCTGCTGAGTCACACAGGGCTCGGAACAGCATGGAGAGACCCCAGGGGGCTGAGTGCAGGGCATGTTCTGACAGAGCAGAACAGAAATGGCTGGGATGGGAAAGGGGAGGAAAGAGGCCTTAGAGGTGGGACCAGGACACTGGGGCCCCAGCCAAAGCAAGGCACTAGGGTGGGCCACAGTCACAGCAAACCCCAGAAGGTGAGTGTAGGCCTGCATGGGTACATCTAGGTGCAGGGCCACAGCTCAGGGGCCCCAACCTGCTAAAATCACAGCAGGTCTTGAGAGACACGCCCAAAAGCAAATATCCCACACTTCAGGAACACTCTGAACCGAGCTAAGCAAAGCAGCAGGCATCCTAGGGCAGGAAGGAAAAGCCACAGGGTGGAGGGCGAGTGGGTCATTAATCTGCCCTAAGGCCTAGAGAAACTCCTAGGCGTTCCCCTAGGGAGTTCTCCTAGAAGACTTCAGTGACAACTGTATCAAAGGTAGGCTCTCAATCTCATCACCAAAGACCACCAAAGAAACAAAGAATTTTGGCTGCTCCCAGACTTTGGCAGCCCTTCTGTATAGCAAGGAGGCCACAGAAGAAATGCTGGAGTCTGGGCCTCGTAGTATTTTCTAGGTACTCTATATACCCGTCGCCTATGGGCAGGCAGGAGGAGACACTCCTCAGGAGTGACTGGGTATCCTGGTGTTTAGGGAAACTGCTGGCCAAGCAGGAGTGCTTACAAGCCAGGGCAGGGCTGGCAGGAGACAAGGCAGGGATGCTCTTGACTGGCCAGCATCCCCACTCTGCCCCTTCTGATGCCTCTTCCTGGCAGGGGCATAGTCCTGCAGCCAGGAGGCAGAGGTAGTGCCAGGCCTGCAGCAGGCAGGACAACTGGCCTAGGGCCCACGGCAAAGGAAGCCAGAGGCAGACGGGTAGGTCTGTGTCCTCCTCCAAAACCCCCTGTAGGGTGGGCTTAGGGGTGGCAGTCACAGAATAATTCGCGCCTTGGGAGGGGCACCAGTACCAACCTGTGGCAAGGAAGGGACACAACTGGAAAAAGCGCTGGACTGGACAGTTGGAAAATAAGCCACCCCAATCACCTGGCTGTGCCTCTCCTGGGGCCACGCGGAAGCAGCTGCTTAAGCTTGGTGCCAGGGACCCTCTGCCCTCGTGGTGAGGCTGGGAGGGGGAGTCCTGGACCAGCGGCCGGGAAAAGTATCCCCATAACGCCCACATCTCCACTTCCCACACGCCCCAGGGCCCCTCCATGCCCCTGAGAGGAGGAAGGGGGCAGGCTGAGCCCGGATTTGGCCAGAAACGGGTCAGGGCTCTGAGGGCCGCGGTGTCGCCGTGCCACGTCCGTCTGCTCCGGCGCGGGCCTCCTTCCTTCCCGTGCCCAGCCCCCAGCGCCCACAGCAGGCACTCGCAACGGGCCGGGAACGCCGGGGGAGCCGCGCACGTGCAGGACCGGCCCGGGGGTCGCGGCGCGTGGGTGCGCGCACCTAGGGGTATGAGCCCCCGCGCTTACTTGTAGGTGAGGCCGTCGGCGCTGGCGAAGAGCTGCTGCGCGGTGAGCCCGTCCTCGGGCACGTAGCCGGTGCCGCCGCTGATCAGGTAGTCCGCCATGCTGCCGCGAGACCCCGCGACCCGACATAAACACCCGCGCGGCCACCCGCCGCCGCTGCCGCCGCCGCTGCTGCTGCTGCTGCTACTGCTGACGCCGCACCGCGGCCACGCTGCTGCCGCGGGCCGGGCGGGCCGGGGGCGGGGGCTGCGGCAGCGGCGGGGCGGGCCAGGGCACCGCCCTCTCCTCCCGCCCCTCCCGCCCTTCTCGCCCCTCCCGCGGAGACCGCCGCCTCCGCCCGCGCCGCACAAAGGGCCCCGCCGCCGCCGCGCGCACGCCCCCAGCCGCCTGCAGTGGCCCCGCGACCCCGCCAGCCCGGACCGGGGAGGAGGTGTGGGGGCCGCGGGGGAGAGGACCAGGTCAGGCCGGGACACACCCCCTCCGCCTCTACACGTCCATCCTCCCAGGACCCCCAGCAGAGGCCCCACCCCCCCCCACCCCTGAGTGCTTCCCCAGCCTGGGCCACCCACCTTGCCCTTCTCCTCAGGGTACCTCTAACACGGTTCTGCCGTCCCCCAATCCCCCATACTCTTCCCCGGACCCTGATCAAGGCCCGGAGCCCTGAGAAACTGGTCTGGGCTCCCAGCTCCCCAGTACTAAGGACTTTGAGGTTGGACCGCTATGCCCCATCCCGACATCATTCCTAGGGAGCGGGTATTCTTCACAATGACACTTTTTGACCTTGGGGTGGTGGCCTTGGGGCCCTCTGCAGTTTACAAAGCATTTTTCATAAATGATCACATTAACTCCACAATCTATTAATTGCCAAGTATTGGGTACCCATTCCCTTGACAGACGCAAAATCTATAGTTCGGAAAGGGAGGGAGGGGTACTGCTTCTGATTCATGACCCAGTGCTTCGGCTCACCACCCTATCTCCAGCTGAGAAAATGGTGTTGGTACCAAGGCTTTTAACCTCAGAGAGCAGTTTGTTATTTGGGAGGGTCCAGCGGTGGGAAGATGGGGGAGGATCATAAGCCTGGCTTACACATACAAACAAGGACAGGGGCTAGGGAACTTCTGAAAAATCCCCAAAGCAGAAGTCGGTGGCCCTGGGTGCCCAGCAAGATCCAGATTTCTACATGCAGGCAGTGACTGGGTAGCAGATTGATTCACATGGGGAAAGGTGGGGTGGCAGGAGGTAGATCCTTCCCTCTTATGGGACCAGAACTGCCAGTGCTGACCAAGAGTGGGTCCCCCACCCACACTCCACAGCCTCCTCCCTGTGTCCTCCTATGGCTCCCACAGCTCACTTGGGAAGAAGAGAATAAGGTGGCGTGGGACACAATCCCCTCCCTGGCATGGTGGCTGGCTGTGGCCCTGGGAGGCTGGGTTTGTTTACCTCTCAGCAGTGTGATGGAAACTAAGCCCAGGGGAGGCTTGGCCTCCAAGCCACAAGGTTCCCTGGGATGCCCAACCTCCCCCATTGATGCCCCCGGGACCCTGCCAGGAAAACACAGACTGTTCCATCTGTGTGCAGAGCGGAGGCTGGGGCCAGCTTGCCAGCGATGCCTGGGAAGCACCTCTGAACCTTCAGCATTCATGGGCTCATGTGGGTAGCCCAGGCCACACGGGAGACCAGGGGAGAGTCCTGAGGAGAGCAGTGAGAACAGCCAGAGAAAGTGCCTGACCATTCAGAGCTGCTCTGGGGTGCCTTTCTAGCCACAGAAGAACAGAGCTATCATGCCAACTACAGCACAGAGCAGAGACCGGCCCAGTGGTCTCTCTGGGTCACTGGGTCACTAAGGGACCTGCTCTGGGTCACTGTCCCCTACAGTACGGGTCAGGAATGGCTAGAGTACTATTCAGGATTCAACCAGAGCTGGGGCCCAGGAGAGCAGCTGGATTTGACCATCTCAGGTGACCTGATTGTGACATCTGCCCCAGCCTTCCTAGAACTCTGGAACCCAAGGGAGGAGGCTGCCTGGCTGAGGCATGGGGAGGGTCACCTTCCCAGTGATAACAGACTTCATGGCCCCACTCCCCTCTCCTGCTCCCCTATGTGCCTCCTGCTTTGACCTGTGTTGGGCTCCTCATCACTCTAAGCTGCTGGGGCTCAGCCCTGGGTTAGGCTGTGCTTTTCCAGAGACTCCGCTAATCCACCCTCAACCCCCGCTCTCCTCCACCCTCTTCCTGATCTTCCCCAGCTGCTTCCTCCATGGGGAGGAGACACCGAGGCAACCAGTGGGCCTCCAAAGCCGAGGAAGGGCTGTTATCCCCTGAGACCCCCACCTAGCAGCTGTGGGGACAGGAAGGCAGGTCCAAGTCCCTTCCTCAGGGTAGCAGGGCAACAGTGCCCAGCTGGGTACTAAGGTTCAGGCAGGGAGCCCCGAGGATTCCATCAGGCCTGGGGCTGTTTGAAGGAACAAGATTTCAAAACACTCTTGAGGGGAAGATGGGGGAAGGGGAGAAAAGGTAATAACATTAGCACTGTTGAGCTGGGACGGGGCCATAGCCTGTCCAAGTTCAAGCCAGAGAGCAATAACACTGGATTCAAACCCAGGACTGCTCACGGAATCCTGTCCTCTTCCCACAGCTCCAGGTTGGCGAAGGCAGGTGGAGGTCTGGCCAGCAGGTTTTGAATCTCACTACACCACCTGGCTGGGGTTCAGGTTTACACAGGCTCTCTGAGCCCAAGTGCGGGGTGCGGGTCGGGTTGGGGGTGGGAGTAGGGATGGCCCCTTGATGCAAAAGTGCAATCTGGAGAAAGGATGCACTCACATGGCTCTAGCCTGAGCTCTGAAACAATATGTTTGCAACCCCTGCTCTAACCAAGCACTGCCTCTGTCAAGCCCCAACTGGTTCCTTCAGCCCCTGTGGCCCCTCCCCATCACCCTGTGCCCTGAACTCCAGAGCTGGATTTCTAGGATAGGAGAAAGGCTGGGGGTTGCCTAAGCCTGAGTCAATTCTAGAGAGGCAGACTGCCGGCACAGGAGGGGCCTAACTCAGCAGCCCCACTGCCCAGGAGCCCCTTAAGCCGTTAAAAGTCCTTACATAAGCGACCAGCCCCTGGGCAGAGCTGCCAGGCTAATTCCCCCAGACCACCCCCGCCAAACCCAGCTGCCAGGTCACCTCCCCAAGCTGCTGAACACCAGCAGATGGGCAGAGAAAGAAGTCCAAATCCTCTGGACCGGAAGGACAGTGGGATTGCATTTCAAGCTGCGATACAATCCAGAGATTAGCTGCTGTCTCCTTTTCAGCCAGTCCCCCTGGGGCCCAGCTCACTACCCTACTCTTCCTCCAGTGTCCCTCATTCCCCTACAGACCCCAGCATGGGGGCCTGAGTCTTCGGAGAGACCTTGAGGTGAGCTGCACTGGCAGCCTCATCAGATCTCAGTGTATGGTGAGGAGGGGAGAGTGTCCTCACCTAGCCCTGCGAAGGCGATCCATCTGGACACTAACACCTGCCAGTAAGACCACTGAAGATAGTTCTAGGAGGAAACAGCTAAGGAGGGGTAAGCCAAGTCGGACAGGACTCCAACCAGCACTGTTTGAACCCCAAGAGTTGAAGCCACCTGAAAGGGGTGTCGTCGGGTGTGTAGCGAGGTCCAATCTAAGGCTAAGATTTTAGGGAAGGTTTTTACGACCTGTTCCCTCCCCTCTGCTCCCCTGTGCAACGAAGCACCTAATCCTTCGTACAGTGCCCGTCTGCATACCCCAACCAAAGACAGGAGCGTGGCGTTTCGGGAAGTTAGAGGCTGAGGCGGTAAGAGGAGAAGGGTTTGTGGGGTTTGCCCCTCCCCTCCCCCGCAGCGTCGCCGGGTTCCCGGAGCCGCCGCGCCCTCCTCGGCCGCCCGCCCCGGATGCGCCCCGTGCGCTCTGCCCTGGGCGTCACCTCTCAGGCTCGTAGCCGGCCTGCAGCAGTCGGGCGCTGTACCGTTGCGCCGCCGTCTCGTGTCCCGGGTGTTGCCGGGCTCCGGGCTCCGGAACAGCGGCGGCTCCGCCTCCCTGCAGCGGTGGCGGAGTGAGTGGCCCCTCCATGCGGAGGCCGCAGCTCAGGGCGGGCGGGAGCCTCTCCGCCTGGAGGCTCCCGGGGCCCCGGCTGGGCAGTGAGCGAAGCCCGGTCGGGTCCCGAGGAGGGGCGGGCCCGCCGGGGCGGGGCCTCGTGCCGGGGGCGGGGCAGGGGAATCCGGGAGTCGACTGGGCTCCGCCCTGGGCTCCCCGCTCTCCCCGGCGCCGCTACGCAGATGCCTAGACTAGGTTCGTCTCTCCCATCCCGGATTCAGCGAGGGTATATCGGGGGATGAGGGGGAGAGGTGTACGTACATGGGTGGGACTGGAAAGGACCCGTCCCTTCGCTGCTGTCCGGATCTTCCAGTGTCTCCTGGCCCTTTCCGAGGAAAACCAGAAGAGGAAAGGAGCGGGGCTCTGGAGGCAGGGCTTCTCCTTGCGTCGCGGGTCCGCTCCTTTGCTGCACACCGACGATGCCAGGTCCCCTGGAGCGCCTCCTACCCGCCGGCCGCAGGCCTCCCGCGCTGGGGCGACAGAGTCATGCTCAGCCGACTCCACGTTAGAGAGCGGGGAGAGGGATTTCCACAGCCTGTAATCTGCCAGGGAACGAACAGAACAGACAAGGCTGCGGGCTCCTTCAGGAACAGGACCTAGTCTTACCTCGTTGTGGAGGTACTTTGCCTTGTTATGTTACCCTATAACAAGGGAGTGGGGCAGAGCAGTGTACTCAAACTTGTTTATCCACTTACTAGAAGGCGCACTTTTTCCTACTGTTATCATTGTGAACAGTGATTGAGCACCTAGCAAAAATGACAAAGAAATGTAAGAGTCCTTGCCCTCAGGCAATTTACTTCAGGAGACAAAGTAGATGAAAATATACAGCTGATAATTCTCATGCCATATACAGATGGTCCTTGACTTACAATGGTCGACTTATGATTTTTCAACATTACAGATGGATTTATCCAGAAGTAGCCCCATCTTTAAGTCGGGAAGCATCTGGACTTTTAAAAAAGTCTGACAAGTCTGAGGGAACAAATGGTAAACACTGCGTGATTGAGGCGTGCTAAGATGTATTGGGGTCAGACTTTCAGCAACTATTTCACAAAGGAAGCTGAATTTATGCAACTGTAAGATCTTGGACTTTATCCTTCATCGTGCCTCTTCCTATGCACATACACACCCACTCCCCAGAATCAGGTTTTTTTTTTTTTTTTTTTTTTTTTTGAGTTTTAAAATTTAGGTTGGGCGCAGTGGCTCACGCCTGTAATCCTAACACTTTGGGAGGCTGAGGCGGTCAGATCACCTGAGGTCAGGAGTTACAGACCAGCCTGGCCAACATGGCGAAACTCCATCTCCATTAAAAAATACAAAATTAGGCTGGGCGCGGTGGCTCAGGCCTGTAATCCCAGCACTTTGGGAGGCTGAGGCGGATGGATCATGAGGTCAAGAGACCTCGTGACCATCACTTAACAGAGACCATCCTGGCTAACATGGTGAAACCTTGTTCCTACTAAAAACACAAAAATTAGCTGGGTGTGGTGGTGTGCACCTGTAGTCCCAGCTACTCGGGAGGCTGAGGCAGGAGAATCACTTGAACCCGGGAGGCGGAGGTTGCAGTGAGCCGAGATTGCACACTGCACTCCAGCCTGGTGACAGAGTGAGACGCCGCCGTCTCAAAAAAAAAAAAAAAGGTCAGGCATGTTGGTGCATGCCCGTAGTCCCAGCTACTCAGGAGGCTGAGGCATGAGAATAGCTTGAACCCGGGAGGCCGAGGTTTGTAGTGAAGTGAGATTGGGTCACTGCACTCCAGCCTGGATGACAGAGTGAGACTGTCTCAACAACACCAAAAAACTAGAATTAATTCGTTGATTCTATTCAGTGTCCTCTGGTACTTTGTATTCTGTCTCCTTTTTTGGTGAGGGGCCCAATAAATTGATTTTGGACTCACCATTTAAAAAAGACTACCCTAAAGCCAAAGGTTTCTGTTTGGAAATACGTAGATAAGGTAGCCATATGTGTTTTAAAAGACTCTGAAGGAGAAACTAGTCAAAACTGATCAATTACTCAACACATGAAACTTAGAACTAGCTATAGCCTAAACTTTAAAGGATTGTCAGTAAACATGTTAAACTGCGGAGAAAATCCAAATCCAAATAAAGTTACCGGGACAGTAAGAATGACATGAACAATAACTGTAACATAATTAAATGCATTATAACACAATGAACAATGTCACACGAAGGCAATGGACTGAAAAAAAAGGGGCGACAGAGCAAGACTGTCTCAAACAAACAAAAATTCATGGAAAAATGGAATTAAAAGATAAGAAGAAAAACTATTTTTCAACATAAGATCCATCAAATTCAAGAGACATTTGTAAGCAATGATACCAGCCATTTAGTCCATCCTCTAAAGAACTTAAAGTCTTTGGAATTTAAGCATGGCAATGCAGTCTTTTTTACATTATTAATTGAAAAAAATGGGAGCCCTTTAAAGATTTTTTTCTTTTTTTTTTTTTTTTTTGAGACAGAATCTCACTCTGTCACCCAGGCAGGCTGGAGAGCAATGGTGCGATTTTGGCTCACTGCAACCCCCACCTCCCGGGTTCAAGAGATTTTCGTGCCTCAGCCTTCCGAGTAGCTGGGATTACGGGTGTGGGCCACAATGCCCAGTTAGTTTTGTACTTTTAGTAGAGACAGGGTTTTGCCATGTTGGCCAGGCTAGTCGAGAACTCCTGACCTCAGGCAATCCACCCGCCTCAGCCTCCCAAAGTGCTAGGATTAAAGGCGTGAGCCACTGCACCCAGCCAAGATTTTTGTTGAGATTAGGAAACAAAACCAAGTCAGAAAGAGCCAAATTAGGACTGTAAGGTGGATGCCTAATGATTTCCCATTAACACTCGAAAAATTTCCCTTGTTTGACAAGAGGAGTGAGCAAGAGCACTGTGATGGAGAAGGGCCCTCTCTGTTGAAGCTTTCTCCCAGGCATTTTTCTGCTAAAGGTTTGGCTGACTTTCTCAAAACACTGTCACAATAGGCAGATGTTATCATTCTTTGGCCCTTCAGAAAGTCAGCAAGAAAAATGCCTTGTGCATCTCAATTAACTGTTGCCACGATCTTTGCTCTTGACCAGTCCACTTTTGCTGTGACCGGACCCACTTCCACCTCTTAGTAGCCATTGCTTTGATTGTGCTTTGTCTTCAGGATTGTAATGGGAAAGCTATGTTTCATCTGTTGTTACAAGTCTTCAAAGAAATACTTCAGCATCTTGATCCCATGATTTTAAAATTTCCATTAAAAGCTCTGCTCTTCTCTGTGACTGCTTTGGGCACAGACCTCCCAAGCTAGGGCAAGATAGGTGGAAGATACTATCCATCTCCCTTTGCCTAGTCAACAGACTTCAACTTAGGTGGGAGAAAAATAGATTTTCCACATCCCTTACCTGCCATTGGGGAACAGTTTTGGCACCCATTGAGTGGAAAGTTTGCTCAATTTTAATTTTTTTTTCAGTCAGAATTGTGTAAACTGAATCAATTGAGATATCTATGATGTTGGCTACTGTTTTTGCTATTAATCATCAGCCTCTTCAGTTGTGGCACAAACAAGATTAATTTTTTCTTTGCAAATTGATGTAGATGGTCTGCTGCTTTGGGTTTCATCTTCAACATCTTAACCCTTCTTAAAACAAGTTATCCATTTGTAAACTGCTGATTTCACTGAGACATTGTCCCCATAAACTTTGTATAAAGCATCAGTAATTTCATCATTCTTCCACCTAAACTTCATCATATATTTAATGTTTGTTCTTGCTTCAATTTTAGCAGAATTCCTTTGCTTTGATAGGAGCGCTTTTCAAACTGATGTCTTACCCTTTTTAGTGCCTCAAACTAGATCCTGTTTAGACACATTATAAAAAGTTAGTATGAGTGTATTTTAGTGCAAAAAAAATTGAAGTCCAGGCATAGATTTTTTCATAATATGCATTTTCCACGAACTTTTTGAAGACCCCTCATATATCAAAGCAGACTAGGGCTAGATTCTGCAGTTAGGTGGGCCTTGGCCCAAATCTGGGTTACTATGTAATTACCCAAGTCATGAACTCTCTCTGAGCCACAGTTTCCCATCTTTCAAATGGGGCTAATACTGTCTATAAGGTTGTTTCGTGATTAACAAGATAACACATGAAAAGTTCTTGGTACATAGTAGGCTCTTAATAAACACAAGCAACGATTATTGTAAGCTAAGTAAGCTGTAGCTAACTTGTATACTTTTGACCCCTGGCTAAATACAATACATGATTTCTATTATATAGCCATTCAACAAATGTTTATTGGGTACCTCTCTTGTACCATCTAGATGCTGGGAGTATAATGCTGAGCAAGATGGTCATTGTTTTTACTGTCATGGGCCTTTAAGTCCAGGAGACTGGGAGACAAGCAGGCAACTAGAAGACAATGTGGGAAGGGCTCTGGCAGAGAAGGACACCCCTCCACACAGCCCAGACACCCAGGCAACACACAGACAGGACCAGATGTTCTGAGAAAGAAATGCTTTGGGACCACTTTAAAAGCTCCTGGAGGTAGGCAGAATATAACACATAAATGAACACACATACGTAATGAGAGTACTCGAGTAGTAGCTGAGACCCGGCACTCAATACAGAACAGCTCTGCCTTATCTCCAGAGCTCGTTGGCTACAAATGAGATTTGCTAGCAAACTATTCATTAAAGCAATCATGTTGTGATGGAATAACCTGAGGGCCTCAGCATTTCATATGAAGGGATTTTACCTACAGTAATGTCTAAGCCAGTAGTTCTCTGTGGGACGTTTGGCAATGTTTACAGGCATTGTTTATTGTTATGACTAAGGGGAGAAAGGGTGTATTCATGGCATCTAGTGGGTAGAGGCCAGGGATGCTGCTAAATATCCTACAATGACTCTTCACAATAAATAATTATTTGACCCCAAATATCAATAGTGCTGAGACTGAGAGGTTCTGGTCTAAAGGAACTACTAGACAAAACTAGAACTAGACCAGTGCAGTGGCTCACGCCTGTAATCCCAGTTCTTTGGGAGGCCAAGGCAAGCGAATCACATGAGGTCAGGAGTTCGAAACCAGCCTGGCCAACATGGTTAAACCCCATCTCTACTAAAAATACAAAAATTAGCCAGGCATAGTGGCGCACACCTGTAATCCCAGCTACTCAGGAGGCTGAGGTGGAGGATTGCTTGAACATGGGAAGTGGAGGCAGCAGTGAGCCAAGATGGCACCACTGCACTCCAGCCTGGGTGACAGAATGAGACTCTGTCTAAAAGAAAACAAAAACAAAAACAAAAAATTGGAACTAAAGCAAACTATTTAATCTTCTAAAGGCATGAGGACAATAGGCTGTTTTAATCTTTTGTACATGAAGGAGCTATGTATCCTTATTGGGTCTCAGTTTCCTAATCTGAGAAACGAGATTATTGGATTAAATAATGTAGAAAGTTCTTTCTGGCTGGAAAAAATATATACGAGTCAAATATACTTATAGGATTAGAATCCTGGCCGGGCATGGTGGCTCAAGCCTG